ATTGCAACTGATCGTAACATAATAACATAGCAATGTTAAGTTATATATGGCATGACATATTTACCTACATATATATGCATAACAAGCATCTGTCCAGTTGTGTCTACTACGTATGTCTATAACAGAGCTCTGTTAGCTTACTGGGGGATACGATCATTTAGCAAGTTCTAATAAGATAATATCATTACCGTTGACAACTCAAATGTATTAGTTTTATTATAATATAAAAGGATTTTTTGCATTTGACGCCAACAATTATCTAACATTAAATTAACTGTATTCTCCCGTCTAACAGTTTACAGTTATTTGCAATTCAAAAGTCTGGTTGGGAACTCATTCATTAAGCACAAGTTCAAATTGGACTCCATTGTCATACTTTTTGGCATCTTTTTACAAAGCTCGATTCTTGGAAACAGAAATTTCCGTTGACCTCTGGCGCTCTGCCATTGGCCATTGGCCATTGAGGCCAGCCCCCGCCGGAGTTGTGTTCCAAATTTTGTAACAGATGCCAGAAGAGCTAATGGACAAATAATTACACTCAGTCACAAGAGCAAGAAACGCTTTTTGGCCTGACTCAGAGTGGGGCATTTGCACAGGGAGGGGCGATTTATCCAGTTGGTTTTATGTCAATTGCTTATGCATAATTACCGCTATAGAATAGAATAGACAAACGACATTTGACAACAGTAACAAATACACTGAAACAAATTTCTAGTGACAAAGTGAGAATAACCAAACGTTCTCAAATTTTATATTAAAAAAAATTGATATATATTTTTTAAATAAATAATTTAATTTAAATAAGTTAAATATATGCATAATAAAAGTTAAAACTTAATTTAATTTAATATTTATTTTTTTTTAAATTTGATTTGATTTAATAAATTAGCAATAAAATATAAAAGTAAAAAATATTTATTTAATATTGTTTTTTAGATTATATTTTATATTAGTTTAATATGTAATAATTATTGAAATTGTTAATACAAGATTGAATTTCATAATTAAATAAGCAAAATAATAATTAATAATTTCAATCAATTATTGCTTATTATTTAATTATAAAATTTATTTATCATTTATTTATTAATATTGAATATTATTATTATATTGAATATTATTATTATTATATTATTTTATTTAAAAAAATTTTTTTTAATCATTTTAACTGACATCACCATTCCTTACTCTGTTTAAGGTTTACCTACTCCCAACTTCTCCTCCTTCTCTTCCTCTATTGTCATACAAGTTAATTAGCTATTTCATACTCTTCAAGCCGACCTCGCTATGTTGGAATTTGTCTGCAATCTGTAGTTCCTGCTGCTGCTGCTGCTGTTCGGGGGCATCCGGTATTAAGCGTTCTACCTGGTTGATCTGCGAACTGCGAACTGCTCTCATCTTAAGCTGACAGTTGTTGCAGGAGAGATCAGCGAGAAGAAGAAGAGATGAGGAACAGCTTTTGATACGCCTGCTGACTCGACTAATTTTTGAAACTTTTTGTCTTTGTCTTTGGCTGTGGCTTTGGCAACAGCTGTTGACCAATTGGCCATCTTGGGAAGTCATTAAGTGGCCCACAGAATGTCAATGAACGACGTTGTCTCTGCGCTGAATTGGAGCAACAGGTGTTGGCTATGAGCATGCAGAGGCTAAAGATTCTTTGCTAAATATTAGCTCAAGCTCAGATCAAGTTCAGGTTTAGGTTCAGGTTCGGGTTCAGGTTCAGGTTCAGAGCAGCTGTTCTCGAGGTTAATAACCAGCCGATAAGTGCAAGACAAGCTCTCAGTGCTAAGTGTTATATATATATAACGTCATTTGTCATATATGTATTATAGCAGTTGTCACAGTGTTATACACACATATATAACAGTGGTCACACTGTTATTTTTACATGTATTTAACACTAGTCAGACCCAGAGTTGCCAGATTTTGCAAACAAGAGCAAGCTAAACTATAGAAATGCAATTTATAATATTCTTATTAACTTAAAGTTAACATAAAAATTAAATTAAATAAAAATATCCAACAGAATTAAAAATAAATTAAAAAAAAGGTGTATAAAACTATAAAAAAAATTGTTTAAAAATATAAAAATGATTTAATAATTTATATAATTTAATAATTATATTAATAGTAGAAACATAAAATCGAACTATCAACAAAAGAATTTACATTAAATTTTACTTAATCATGAGCAAATCTCGCCAAGTCCCTCAAAGTTGGCAACACTCACGACTTTTCGGTCAACAACTCATCGAGTGGGTTAACAGATACAAGGCACATGTGACGCAACATATGGAGTGCTTTAAATTGGAACAGGAAATTAAAGCGTTTTGCCAGACAACAAAGAACACATGAGATATTAAAACAAAAATGAGTCAAATGTGGAGCTCATAAAGTTAGTCTGCGAAAGAAAGTAGTCCAGAGAGTAGATAAATTACAAAAGACTGGAATAAACAACAGAGTGAAGCAAACACGAACAAACAGCAGCAACAGAAGCGAAAAGTGCAAGTGCAAACACATAAAACATGTCCAGTTTAATGGCAGCAGCTGAAGGATTACGAAGGCAAATGGGGCCAGGTCCTAACTTATATTATCAAGCATCAAAAACACTTTTGAGCGAGTGGAAAATGGATGAAGATGCATGGAGGAAATGGCACAGAAGCTTTCAGAGAACTCTTGAAAGCTTACACTGCAGCTAAAAGCGTTTGTTTAATTCTTATTAGATATTTCAGCATGAATGCACTTAACATAAAACTATTATATATTCATATTGGATATGCATTGAACGGTTTGCTACCAAGTTATATAGCAGAACGTTCTAATAAGAGTAGTTTGTCGTTCATAACAACTTAACATAAAAACCCAAGATGTTACTATTAGAAACTGAAACTCACTGAAACATTTATCTCAACTGTATTCGTGGTCGATTATACCAGACAGCTCTGTAAATGGTTTTTAACAGTTTCCTAAATAACAGAAATTATCAATGCTAAAGTTAGGTCAGCGACCTTCAAAATTAAAATGTGTTTGTGCCTGTGTGCGTAACACCATTTAAAATATGTTCTCATAGAAATCAGTTTGGACTTTCAATTTGCGAATTGTTCGAAAATCTCAATGCTAAAAAGCCACAAAAAAAAAAAATAAGTTTGAAGCTTGTCGCTCAATGCTTGACAGCATTCAATTAGCCCCACCACAACCCCGCCTAACCGTCAGCCAGAGCTGCTACTCACAAAGTACAGTTAGCAACAAAATGCACACAATGAGTTGTTTGAATGACTTAAGACACAATATTAGTCATTTGAGTGAATTTCTTATTCATGCAGTCATATTTTTACATGTATTTCTCTCCTCATATAATTTCTTTTGTTTTGTTTACATCATATTTTATTCAAATTTTCAGTCTTCTTGTATCGAACGTCCAATGAAGAAGAGATAGAAAGAGGCAGTGGGAAAGAGAGAGAGAGAGCAACGCATATAGACATTATTATGTAAATTTTATTTTGTATGCCTCCATTGACACTTTGCGCTTTGGCAGGTTTATCATCGTCTACGCTATGCTCTTCCTCTCTGCCTCTCTCACAATAACAATTGACTTGTTACGTGCTTGCGTTTCTTCTTTACCCTGTTCTGTGACTACTAACACTCGCATATTCATAGTCTTTGTCCCCACACACACATATATACGAGCACAGCACAGTCAATCAATGTGCGTGAGCGAGTTAGCTACATGCATTAAGGCCAGCGTTGCAGAGACATCATATAACAACAACACTTCACTTAATTCCTTTGTCAGTCAAAGTTTGCGCTCAGCGAAAGAGAGTGGCAGAGGAAGAGTGGAAAAGTAGAAGAGGAGCAGTTGACAACGGGCCTCCTTTTACTTGCGTTTCTTCCTTGCGTTCGTGTTTGTGTTACGTATTTCTCATTTTTTTATGCACGCTCACTTCTGTCAATATTTACATTTCTAACTAATTATCAGTTCAGCGCACTTTGTGTTGACAGAGTCAGCGTTTTGTTGGCGTTGGCGTTGGTGTTGCTGTTGGCATTTGGCTTGCCTTCATCTTCGGCTCTCGCCTTCAACCACGCACTGAGAGTTCAGTTAACTTTGTATTCTAAAAAAAAATAAATAACTAACTTCTTAAATTTGATTGCCAATGTTTATTTTGGGAAACCAGGAAGTTCTTATATAAACCGCAAAATGCAGCAAAATAAGTTGCTAACAGACTCGAGCACTGTTGTGTCCCAGAATAACTTCTGCTATAGCAGCGTGCACACTGTTAACTACAGTACATTAACAGCGTTGTTAGCGCATTATTTGTTTGACCTTCAAAAAATACGTTTTTCAGGCCTATTTGGCAGCTGAGCTAAGTTTAACATAAAATTTTAACGTTGTTTTTTCTTAGATATTTTAATTGCCCTCGCCTTGAATTTGAACTACAAAGAGCTTTTAGCTGGTTTGCTTAAACAAAAAGCCGCCTGAGAAATGATTGTAATTAAAAGTCATAAAACAAAAAAACCACGTAAGTAAGACACAAATGTTATTTATCTAACCCAAAAAAAAAGGTGGGTTTTCTGTTTCGTTTGACCTTTGGTCACGTTACTCGTAGCTTGTATTTAAATTCTAATTAGCTTTCTGACTTCTTACTAGAAGACTACAAGATATTTAAGCATAGCGAAATATAGGAGTAAATAGAACAGCCTAACAGAGCTATATCTAAGTGCGTAGAGTTGCTACTTAGACCCATACAATTCCCATTTATTCCAATTGGCATGTATGATTACAGCCCTGTCCTGGGATTTTCATACATGGCCACAAATGTCCCTTGTCTGACAAGAATAATTTAACATAAAGCAGGGCATAATACAAATAAGTAATAATGTCATTCGTTCCAATCAGAATATATTATTGTTGCAAATAATCCCACGATATAAGAGAAAAATGTGCATTTAGAAAAGTGGTTGATTTAGTTTAGCCATAATTAAATTTAAGAGCAACAACTTACGCCACTAAGCCGCCCAAGAAGGCAACTGGACCGCCGCCAATTAGACGGATCTTGCGATGACAGGAGTCGAACAGCGATGTACGTGTAGGCGCCTGCGATGTGGGTGACATGCTGCTGCGGTTGCTGTTGTTTATGTTATTGTTGCTGCTTTTGCGTCGATTGCTGCTGTTAATGAGCAGCTGTTGTTGTGCGGCGGCTGCTGCTGTGGTTGTTGTTGTTGATGCTGATGTTTTCCACGCTTGTTGTTCACTTGTTTTGAAATTGTAATTACTGATGTAGTTGTTGTTGCTGCTGCTGCTGGTGCTGTTGCAGTTTTTACTGTTTTTATAATGAGTGTTGTTGTTATGGTTGTTAATGCAACTATTAGACAAACTGTTGTTGTTTTTGTTATTACTATTAATGCTGCTACAGCTTTGATTGCTGCTGCTGTCGTCGTCAGTTGCTGTCGCTGCCGCAGTCACTGCCTCTGCTTCGGCCGCTGCTATGTTTGTTGTTATTGTTTTTGGCTTCTTGTTTCGCCGCAACGCAGCTGCAAAACTGTAACTTGTGTGCTCCTTCTTCTTCGTCTGCTGCTGCTCAACTGTAATTGTTGTTGCCAGCAATAATAAACACTTTTCGCTCTGCTGCTGCTGCTTAAAATAATAATCAGCTGCTGTGTGCGCTGCTCTCTTTTGATTTGTCTCTGCCGCTTCCGCTGGCGTCGCTGCCGCTGTTAATGGCTTGTGTAGCTTTTGCTGCTGCTGCTTAAGCTTTTGCAGTAAACTTTTGCGCTGCTGCTGTTGTTGTTGGTGTTGTTGCTTTTGCTGTTTCTTTTCGCTTGTGGCAGCCGCTGTACCGAAACCCAGTTCCACGATGTGCTGTGTGGGCGCTCTCAACATTATTCACACTCACTTTTGCTTTTTGCGTTTGTTTTTGTGTTTGTTTTTGCTTTTGCTTTTGATTTTGCTTTTGATTTAGCTTTTAGCCTGTTGCCTGATTTGTTGAATGTTGATGTTGTTATTGTTGCTGTCTGCTGCTTGGCTTTAGCATATTTTATACAGTTTTATATTTGTTCAATTCGTTCATTTCTTTCACTTTGAACATTTCTTTATTTCTTGAGCTAAACTTTCTTCTAGAAAATAATAAAATATGAACAAAAATCCAAACAAGCTCGAAAAACTTTAGTTTATCGTGCTTCACATTTTTTTTCTTTTCTTGTTCGCTGAAATTAGCTTAAGACGAGCTTCTTTGGCGTTTTGCGTTTTAATCGCCGCGTTTTTGCCTCTTTTGCAAATTAAAGGAAAGCACGCCCATTGCACAGTGGTACGACTCTAATGAAAGTGGAGCGAATATTTATTTATATAATAGAATTATATGTATAGTTGCAATATTTATATTTGCGTTATTTTTTTGTATCCTTTTTTAAGTTTTTTTTTTTAATTTTATTTATTTGTTTTTTTAAATTGGTAATTTAGATTAATTTAATTTGTTTTCATTATCAACTTCTTTTCTTTATATAATTTATATTTATATATTTCATTTCGTTTTCATAGTCCGCTACCACTGTGCGAGTGGACACATTGGCTCTATACTATATATATATATATATATATATATATATATATATATATATGTATGTATACACCTTTTACTTAGTTTATGAGTTTCTACATATACACAAATATTTTATGTATATATCCACAATATATTTACATATATATATAATATATTTAAGTTATTTTAGACTTTTTTGCGATCGCGTGAGGTCTTTTCTTTACTTCTCAGTTGTATGCGTGCTTGTGCGTGTGTCTCTGTGTTTAAATAAGTATAAATACATATACATATGCATATGCGTGCATAGGCATACACACGCACACATACATATGTATATATATGTAGCTGTGTGCATGTTAATTAGATTTCCTATGGAAGCGAATTATGAATTATTTGCCTCGACTTCTTTCTAATCATTTGTTGTTGTTGTTGTTTACTTAAACAACTTTTTTTCTTGTAATAATTTATGCAAATGCGCTTGGAAAACAACGCAAGTTTATAACTTTTAATTGTTAAGTTAAAGTTAAATAAAGGCAAAGCCTATGCCAGTTTTTTTTTTTTTTGTTATTTGTTAACTTCCTCGTAATTAATTCAAATTCGCATCGTCTTCAAATTGTATTTCATTTAATTTATTTGGGATGCTGTTGTTTTTTATCTCTCCACATTTATTTCAGTTGAGGAAAGTAAGAGCTGGTGTCATCCGCTGCTTACGCAATGCCCCAGCCACAACCCCGCCCCAGCGCCAGTGTCAGTCTCAGCTCCAGCGAGTCGAAAAGCTGAGCCAAAAATTAACAACAAAAACAAAGAAGCCCAGCGAGAAAAACTTGCAGAACAGAGGCGCAGCGAAGGGGGCCTGACAGCCAGTGCGAGGGGCGTTCAGCGAATTGCCTGCATATAAGGCAGGCGCAAGCAATCAACGAACCATCGAACTGGCAAGGCAAGAAAAAGGCTTCACCAAGCGGTTAACCTTCACCCATTTACAGTTAAATATCAAGAAAAGCCCATTTGGGTTGATATCTCTCGTTTTCTATATATGTTGATATGTATTTGTATATGAAAAAGATATGACTTCATACATATATAAAGGAACTCTCATATTGGGGCATAACCTATAAAAACTTTCCATGAAATTTGGTGGCACAAAATTACTAGATCTTAGTGGAAATATTCTAAAAAAAAGTTAAATCAGCTAACAAATTTATGAAAACCATATTTAATTTAAATATAATTATTTTATTTTAATTTAATTATTTTTAAATATCAATTATAGATAAAAATCAAAAAAATAAATGAAATTTCCTATATTATGTTTTTATATACATTATTATATTATATTTATACATATTTATTATATATATATATATATATATATATATATATATATTTTTTTTTTTTTAATTTATTTTTTATTTAAAATTTAAATTAGTTTAAGTTCCGAATTATTTCAAAAGGTTTCATCAGTAAAATTAAGTTAAGCTATATGAATCACTTTATATTTTCCTTTCGTAATCTCATTTTTCCAATGCATGAACCACCGCACCTAATGTAGGAACACATACGGATAGCTCTATAAGGAATTCTATTATAGGAAAATCTTAAGAAAGAAATTCTGACTAATTTAATACATTGGTAAAGCTTTATTATAATCACAGTGGAGCACAGAGAAATCATCCGAAATGGTATTACTACCGTATATCAAATGAGAATCGTGTAAAGCAACAATTAGCTATTTGAACGGATTCGTCAAGCTTTATCGAAAGCTGTTTACTATTTAACATTAATCGTTAGTTAAATCAGGGAATACCCCATTATCATTATCACAACAGCAGTAAAATCCCAGCTTTCTTCTTATTGATGACTCATACAAGCTGAATCATGTAAAACAAATAAAGAAGAAACGTATAATTGATACGTAAGCTGTATGTCCTGCTGCCCATGGAGTGGGATTATTATATATATATATATATATATATATATATATATATATATATATATATATATATATATATATATATATATATACTTGTGTTTATATGTGCTTTGTATTGCCAATCAGTTGAAGCATACTGAAGGAACATGTCGGTGAGTGGGTGAGCGTGACTCAAAGATTGGACGGGCCATAAATCTATATAGAGCTCGCAGATGATAATACACAAAGTTCGTAATGTTTTGACGCTGAATGAGAACGCGCTTATCTCACAGTTCTCGCTCTGGAATGGGGAATGGGAAACGTGCCTCACCAAAGTAAGTGCCAAATTGATTCAATCAAAACCAACTAGCAACTGGCTGGGGGCAGATTCAACTAGCAACACGCAAGGCAACAAGTGCGAAGACTATTTAACTATAACTATCTCTATCTCTCCCTCTCTCTCTTTGCACACACGGAAAAGTAAAAGAAAAAGGCGTGAAAAAACTTTTAGGAATGGCCAAACCATTTGACACTCGCACGAAAACTTTCACAAGACAAAGCGACGCAAACAGAAACAAAATTGAAATTTAAAAAGTGCCTTACTCAAGTTATAAACGGAATGGAATGGAACGCAAATTTTATACGACTATTGCTAGAGAAGTAGAATTCATGAAATTAATAAATAGAGAGCATATATTTATGGCAGATATAAGAGTTATATGTTTTAAACGGAGCCACGAAACTGTTATACTTAGGTTGGAAACTAAATAAAAAAGTGTTATATTGATTTGAATTTTTAAGAAAACTACTAGAAGAGTTGAATTAGATAACTAAAAGTGTTATACAGAAAATAAAAACGAAAATTGTTATAAAAGGAAACTGTTATACAGTAATTGCCAGGCTAAAAATGTTATTTTACAGATTAAGACAGTAATAACGTAATAATACTATTATAATTAAGTAAGATATTAGGCGCACTGAAAGTGTTATACAGTTATAAAACCATAAGAGTTATTTGAGACTATTTAATGAAATCGAAAGGGTTAGACAGTGGTTTATCGTATGGAAATGTTTAATACTGAAACAAAAACTATAACAACTGCTATACATAAATAAACATGAGAAAAGTGTTATACCCTGGTTGCTTAGCAGTTTATAAATGTCACTGTATAAAATTTAGTTCCGTCAGCTCAACTTGTTCCACTTAGACTTGACACATAGTAAATAGAAAGTGACTATTTATAATTGTTATAGGATGTTATTATTATTTATGATTGTCAAAGAATGAAATTAGATTCTATCAGAGAAACTTATCAAAGCACTTTTATGGAACAATTGTAGTTCTATTGTTTTTTCAGAAATTATATTTTAATATATATAATATTTTTGTATAATTTTTTTGCTATTAGCCTATATATATTCTGGTGTCGTCATCTATTTCTGGATGTCTGTCTAAAGGTTTACTTTGACAATTTCGGGCAGCGTTGTCGAAGCGAACTTTCTACGAATTTCAGTTAGAATTTGCAATTCTCAACTTGTTCAATGTCGCAGTTCCATTTCCATTTGCAATTGCCATTTCGAGGCACGTTGCAGGTCGCCGCGCGGCAAGGCATTAGAATTAAGCCAAAAGCTACGAGCCATGAAAGTTTCCACTGAAAATTTGTTAGCCATGAAGCGAAGACGAAACGTCGACGAAATCAAATCGAATTCTCTCATATGAGCGAACTACTCGCCGCTAATGATGATGCCTGCCCTATGGAGAGAACAGTTAAAGAGCTGCTTGGCTTGGCTTGGCTGGTCTCATTTTTAATGTACAACTCGACAAATTGACACTTGAGCACATAAAGAGGCAGGAGGCGTGGCTTGGTGGGGCGGGCGAGGCAGTTGTCTGGTGTTTTGGGGCGTGCGCTTCTAGAATTTTAAAATGAAAGTTCGTGCTTATTCACGGTTGAAAAAGCATGCGGAAATCTACGGCTGCGGAGCTCCACAAATAAATCGCAGCTTAGCTTCGAGATATATGAGAGAGTCTAGAGTAATAATTATATTATTTTAATGTGTTTTTCCTTTCTCTCTCTCTCTCACATTCTGTGTGTCTCTCTATTTATTTTCTTGTCGCTTGTTTTTCTTTCTGTCTGTTTTCCCCGCTTATCCATAGCAGCTGTCGTTTTCTGCTGCGGCATTACGCTGCATTTTCAATTAAGCCAAGATGAAAGTTTTCTTCTACAACTGCTTCCTCTTCTCGACTTCACTTCATGGCAGACACCTAGGGTAGGGTTTGCTGCAGCACAGCCAAGCGAAGACATCATATGAAAAGGCAAGGTTATGCGTTGTGAATAAGCAATTAGCTCTTGCGGTTCTTTCCACAATGATCATCAGCAGCAGCAGCAACATCATTATGAACATCATTAGCTACATCATGATGTAGCTGAAAGTCTTATGTGCTAGCCGTCTGGTCTGCTCAGCCAGCTTTGGGGTCACGCGTTTGGCATCTGTGCAACTGAAGCTCTGCAACTGAAGCGCATCGAATGCATTTAAAGCAGGCAACACTTAGCGTCTCACAGATATATAGATATATCTATATAGAAGTTATAGATTACTAGAAGTATACATGAACCTTTTTGTGACTGAAGAACGTTTAAACACATGATATTACTTGTTATCGATAACCA